GGCAGGCTGAAAGCTGGTTTCTAGGGTTTTGTTTAGCTTCTTATTTGCAACATAGTACATTGTTGCTTAGAGTTGCAACTCAGAGGCCGGCAACGTTGGAGTCTGCAGTCACTGAAGCAAGGAAGCCTCATGTTCGCTTCCAGCTGCCTGGCTGCCGGCCGCCATCTTGGCTGACAGTTAATTTGCATAAGGATATGCTGATTAGCCAATGGGAAGGGTAGCGGTCGTACGCCAATTACCATGTTTCTCTTTTATTAGTGTAGATAGCTTGCTCAACTCAACAGGCATCTACTAAGCTCCAACTGTGTACCAGGCTCTCTCTTAGGCTTGGCAGGGGATGTGAAAATGTAAAACCCGGCACTGTCCAGTTCAGTTTGGTAGGAACAAAAGGTGTATAAATTGAGACACGAAGAATGTCAGGGTGTGAAGGGTCTCTTCACACTGTGTATGTAATAAAGGGCAGGAAGGGCTGCCTGAAGACAGGGAAGTCATTTGTCACTAAAGAGCAAGACACTTAAGGAAGATACTTAAGTTCCCTGTGCCTCAGTTTTCTCTTGTGTATAATGGGGATAACAGCAGTACCCTTTCAAAGCAATGTTGAAGATGAGATGGGTTGACATACAGAGTAGTGTAGGATGTCTGTTGTCATTGCCTATGTACCTCACTACTTCCTTCCTCAGTCCTTAGATTTGGTAATTGCTCAATAAATATTGCTGGACAAATGAATTCACACATGAATGGGTTAAGTGATGCTACTGAGTCAAAAGGGAAAAAAAATTATTATGTAAGGCATTGAGCTCTTTCATAAGCCTTGCAAGACCATGGAAAGACTGCCATGCAAACAGTTTAAGAAACAGGTGTGATGTTTAAGGTATGTTTCAGACACGGAAGAAGTTAATCATTCATTCCTTCACTTTTCTGCATAGATGGCCTGACATTTTAAACAAGCCCAGGAAGTGAGATGAAGAGGTCACAATGAAATTAGAGGACATCTCATTCTAAAAGATGGCTGGAGGGGCCCTGAAACCCAGGAGTTAAGCTCTGTGGGAAAAGCTGCGATGACAGCAAACCCCAACCACCACACACTCACCCTGCCCAAAACCAGCGCTGTGGGCTTCTCCTTCCTTAAATTATACTCACTCCCAAAAGGATAAACACAAACATTGTCTTTAAAAGATGTTGAAGATCATAAAAGTCAAACCAGCTTGAAAACATAGGCTATGAACACAAACAGATGGAGCTACAAGAGGACCTGGGGGTGTCTTACAGGTCTCCACCCTTATTTTACAGATGTGGAGACTGAGGCCCGGAGGAGGAAAGGGAGTCACCAAAGTCATCATTTCCAGAGAATGGCAGGCAGGGGTGGAGCAGGGGGCTCGGTTTCCCAAACTCGAGCCCTCTAAGGGAACTGCATCTTTCTGCCAAAGGAAACCTTGAGGGAAAAAATAAGAGGCGGTTCCAACTCCAGCAGGGGATAAGGACTGGGGTGAGGAGGCCCTGGGGGAGGAGAGGCAGTAAAGAGTAAAGAATGATTGTGATGGGGGAGCTAAGAACAAGGCTGATGAGCACACGCAGTGGGAAGAAACGTGAGCCCCTCTGCGCTTTTCGTGGGGCTCGGAACAATCCGGTCCAATCCAAGCGCCTGGTTTTTTCAGGTGTATCCAACCCCTTCTACACAAACACACGCAAAGACCAATGCCTTCTCCCAGGTGTTTTCATCTCGGTCGGAATTTCTCGCGGGTGGGTAGGTGGGTGGGGAGGGAAAGCCTCAGAGATACCCTCTCTTTAAGGTAGCGCCCTCGGCCGGCAGCGGAGGAGGAAGAGCTCGAGCAAAGAGTCTACGGGATCAACGCGGAAGTGGGG